CCAATGGCGAATACAAGGGGCTAGATGGCCTCAGACCTCGGCAGACTCAATGCATATGTTGAATGTTGGCAGCCAAACACCATCTTCCGGCATGTGCATGCTGTCAGTCGGCTGGTTAGGGTTTTTAGGGTTCAGGGAAGCCAGACAGGCAGACCTAAACCCTAAACCCTAAACCCAGGACTCCAAGCTTCCAGGATGGATTGTTTCGATATGTGCCGAACTGCTCCTGTCGCTTGCGCAGCCTCCGAGTCATGGCAATGGTGCTTGGAGGTTCATGGGTAGTTATAAGTGGAGTTATAAGTCCCCTAATATGGGTTATAAATATAGTTACCCTACTTGTAACCCTACCTATAACTACCCATGAACCTCCAAGTAGGCAACCACTTGAGACCTACACCAGGCCCTAAACCCTAAATCCTCATGAAGCGAATCGCTGCTTGGATGGGCTTGGCGGTGCTGCGCTGTCTCGCCGCCGCGTAACGGGGCTTGATGTGAAACCCAGTTGCTTTTATGAACTAGCCCGTTGTACGTTAACGCTGTAAAATACTGAATAGGCGCACTTTTCGTGCTCACGGAGATCCAAACATGCACAACAGGCATTGCGAGGCCGACAATACGTTTGCTGCTGCTACATATGCCAAGACCCAGGAAGAGGTGAACCGCAATCCTTACGGGTTTTTACCTTTTCTGCAGAAGATTCCAAAAGTTGTTTATCAGCCAGATTCGCACAAAGGGCCGCATCCGCATGTGCGTGTTCAGGGGGTGAAGGTCAAACTGAGTCCACCTAAGCAGACTATATTTCTGAGCATCAACCTCACGGCGCACATTGTCAGCATCAATGACGAACATTACCATCCTTGCGGCTTCAATCTTCTCTGTTGGATTTGTCATGGTGAAGCATCGAGGCAGCAGACTCGGATTCTCAAGGCTGAGCTTCGGTTGGCAGAAGCAGAGATTGCCTGGTCAAGTCCCAGAGTGATAGAGGACACTACAAACGGATGTGGAGAATTCGATAATGACATACAGAATTTCATTTTCAGTGAGACATTCGAGCACATAAGATCAGAGCTCATGAACAACTGGTATCAAGATTTCATTTATCCTTCACACGTGGACTTGGGCCTTGGAGCCCGTGCATTTCTGCACTTCCCACCGCCGAAGATTTCGAGCAGCCGCGGCAAGAGCTTCTTGGCTGGCTCGGTTCATGCTTGCATTGAGGGCAACGGCACCTTCTATGCCGTCAGCGCCGAGAAGCGTGGCATTCGCCAATGTCAAACTCGTCCTATTTTCCGAACATTCCGCTCGAAGGACTTCCAGACATATGATTTCCGCAAACTGGGTGCAGAAGCAGCGAAGCAGGGAACATCCTCCCTAGTATTCTCGTGGAAAGACAGTTCTCATGTTGCCATGAAGCTCTTTGTTGGCTCAGTGACGGTGGAAGCAAGACTCACGGAGCTAGTTGACAATAATACAACCAATTTCTCATTGTCGGCGACATGCCACAAGTGTACCCTTTATGATGGAGGCCAATGGATGTCATACATGCCAGAACCTATTCGGCAGTACTGGCAGTACATGCCAATGCGACCAGCACAATCGGCGCAAGATCCTGCTGTCAACGGCACAACGCAGCCGGGTGGCGCGCAAGGGTCATTGTTCTGGATTCTTGCTGATAACAGCACTCAGATGGTCTCAATTGGAAGGGGGAGCATCCCTGGCAAAGATGAAGTCCTGTCTCTGCAGATCAAGGGCGGCGGGAGTCTGGCTCATCAGTTTGGTGTGTCCAAAGCTATCTGGAACGTAAGCTCTGGCATGGCGAGGCATTTCTGCACCCCCAGCATCCCGGCAACCCTAAATGCAGACGGTCATGGCACGATCCGCCTTTCCACCTCTTTGCTTGAAGGGCTGTTCTGGGCACGGTCTCAGCAACTGGTGGCCTATGCATCCAACACATCCAGAAATGTTCTAGATGCAGTACTCCGAAACGACCTGCAGGTTGGGAAGATGCACTTCACAGTGGATACGGATACTGCTTCCTCTTCGGGAAAATCTCCCCTGCTCTGGCTGTCAGTTGCAGGTGCCCGTGTCAGGACTTCGTGCCCCAGCCGCCAAGAGCCGCTTTTTGCAGCTTCAGTGCAACACATGCGCAGCGCAGCTACAGCGCAAGGCCGCAAAGAGGCAGACGGCGGCAGCTTGGCTATATCGGTGACGGTACACACAGGGGAGCATGCCGCCCCTGATGTGTCTGATTTCCGCTTGCATAATCCACAGGTCCCCATGGACGACTCCGTTCCAACTTTCCTGTTGACCGATATTGTCCAAGCCATGAACATGAGGCTTGAGCATATCACTCTCCACATCCCACGCGAGCTTGCTCAGTTCATCCCATGCCCCATGATAAAGGGTAAGTGCCGGAACATGCGGCTGTACTCGTTGAGCAAGCAACACGACGCCGGTGGATACCTTGAGTTTATTGATGCAGAAGCTGCCGCTGCTGAGACTTTCGCTGCAGAGCAGCCAAAGCTTGCCAGCAGTAGCGACAAGCAGAAGGATGAAGGCATTGTTACTTCGCTGATCGCATGCATCCTGTGGCTGCTCTGGCTGTTGAATCTCGGGCTGTCTGTCTGGACTTCTTGGGAGTGGGTAGTGTCTTCTGTCACTCTCTCCATTCTCTGCTTGGCTTGGCACTTTACTGGTCCCTTTGCAGGTTTTTCCGAGTCGGCCTTCTCAGACCTTGGTATCTCAAAGCAGGATTCTCCTACAGACGTGATCGAGTGTATGCAGCGCTGCAACTATGCCGCGGTTGCAGCTACTTATGTATGCGCAATATGGCCTCTGGTGATTGCCACAGTGAGGCGAGTCCGGCAGTTGCTGTCCGTGGTTGCTTTTGCGGCCCGTGCAGCAGAAGTTCCACGATCTCTGACGAAGCTGTTCGAGGCATCCACTGCAGAAACGGTGCTTGGCCATATCCTTTTCAGCGCCCTTGTTTGTGTCTCGCAGCTGGCTTTTATCATTGTTATTCCGCTGAGAGTGAACCTGGGCAAGCAAGTCGCGCTGCATGTCGCATCAAGCTCGGAGAACTGGTACCCTGGCACCGCAGTGGACATTATAAAGGCGGTGTTGGGCAATTCAGACTTTGATATCCATAGGGCAACGGGAACTTTTGTCAGCTGTAGCTTCACGGCCTTGTATGTGTCCCATCTTGGGCTTTACTTGATCTTCTTCTTGCTGGCTCTTTCGCCGGGGGTCTTCATTGGAGCCTTGGTCTTTACGACCATGCATTGGAGCGAGCGCCAGGTGCGAGGAATGGTGGACATGTCAACGTCGTTCATCTTGATGATGGAGCTCCTACCGTCTGCTGCGATCCTGGGTGCATTCACGATTGCATATCAAATCTTGGGTGGCAACTCAACGTGGTGGCTTGCATATGGAATCATCGGCGTGTGTAGGCCGTTATTTTCAGTGCCTTTGTTCCGAATGTTGCACAGACAGGAGAGGGAGCAGAAGCCCATGGGCACGATCTTGTCCCTTGCGGCTGCATACATTGGCTTGTCACTTGTGGGCATTTCAATGCTTTGGAACCACTTTCACAGGGCTTTGGAGGGCTTGTCCGGCTCCACTGCACTTCACACGCCATTTTCCGGCTTGAGCATGTCTTTCGTCGCGTCTCAGTTTGTCACGCTTGGATGGGTCATCGCCATCAGCATGTACTCCATACTGCAAGACATAGCGTGGAACTCCAGCAAGATTTTGAAGAAGGTCAAACGGGGTTTGCAGGATGCGGCAGGCGAACTCATCAGGCGCACCGTCGCAGGACGCCTCTTCTGCATCAAGAGCCACCTTTCCCCAGAGTTTCTGAAGCATCTGTGGCAACAGTCATTTCCTTGGATAATCTGGACTCTGGAGATGGATGCCCTGGTTTCCTTGTATTACCATGCAGTGAAGATTGTTTGGTTAGGCCGGAAGGGTTGTCTTGCTTTGGACTTGCAGCACATGTCAAGGGTTTGTCGGGGTCTCAGGGTTCAGACAGATGCAGCTATTTTAGGGCCTGGTTCCTGTTACTTTCCTTCAAAGGGGGGGGAGTTGCTGGCCAGACAGATGTGATTGCTTTTGTTACGAGGGGCCTTTCGTTGGGCACTGTCAAGCTGGCTGACTTTGCAAAGCTACTTCGGTAGCGATTGAAGTTAGGTCCTGTACATGAACGGCAGCGCAAATGTGAGCTCGTAGCGTTCTTTGGCTTGTCGGAAACGAAAGCAGTATACGCCAGACGGACAATACACGGTGAAGGTATGTGTTGCCTGTTCCACGGTTGATGATGCTCATTCAGACTTGCGGCTTTTAGCAGACCCTTTCGGCGGGTCATTGAAGAGCGGCTTCCATTTTGGTGTCGATTTATCGATTGGCACGCTCATTGGCTCTGGCGAGGAATACGAACCGAGTCACAGAATCTGCGCAAAGCTGGCACACACGCGCGGCAACAGACTTGTCTCTTCGATCCAAGCTGCTTGCAATCATGTTCCCCGTCCTTATAGGCGGCCAGTGCAATGAAAGCCGACCGTCCTACTAAGCAACCGAATGGGTTACAGGGGCTGCAACAACCCTGGCCTCTGTCTCACAAGCCTAGAACTGTGCATCCAGAGACACTTGCGAGCTGGAATTCTCCCAGGATCTAGTTTGAACCGGTTGTATGTATAGTCTTATACAGTGTAGTATATCATTGTTTGTAAGGTGTTGGTTGGCTGGCTTGCGGGATCCTGTCGTGCTTGGCAAAAGCCACTCACATCCACATCGGGCAGTGCTACCATCGAGGCCTTCACCAATCGTGCGGTGCGCTAACATCACTGCATACCAAGCATCAAAAGTTGAAAGTTGAAAGCATGCGCCGCGTGGTCCTTAGTTCCGCATGCACCCAAAGATACCATGCCTGTAAGTGGGCAATGCATACTTGACACTGGCGGCAAGGCCTCATGTCTGACTTCTTCCTGTATGAAGTGAAGGCGTTGCTGCTGATGCTCTTCACCTGGCCCTTGCAGTCTGATCAAGATCTCCGGGCGAGATTGGAGCAGCTGCCACGAGTCGATTCCGGTAAGCTGGATTTCTCCTGGACGACTGCTGCCGGCCTTTTGTTCTTGTGCATCGCTGGAAGCTGGTGGACGCTCGATGGCCGGGGAGTCAGCGCGTTGCGAAATACCATGTCGGGCAGGCTCTTGCACTCAACTGGAAGCTCCTTGGAACAGGGATTGCTAAACTCAGGGCATGACCACAGACATGAAAACCGGCACGGTCCATCAGTGGGTGACTACCGGAAGGAATTCCTTTGGGTTCTCGCATGGTTTGCTTGCCTTTCTCCGGGAGAACTTGATCCGAGATGGCCTTCCACACACATGGGGAATTGTGCAAAGTAAGGTGGCCGCAGAGTTTGGCATCGAACAGCTGCGGAAGTTTCTCGCCAAGAACAAGTATTACTCGGGCAGCCAACATACCGTTCTTGACCAGCCCTTTCTGGAGTACCAGTGGTGCTTGTCGCTCTCCTTCACCTTCCAGGCTCTCCTGCTACTTCTCGTATTCGCATCCGCAGTTTGCGAACACAATGGTTGGAAGGACAGAAGCCAGACTTGTGCCTTCGCAGCTGCTGGCGTGGCAATGATGTCTGCCTTGAGCACTTTTGTACCAAATTACATGCAGCTGACCCAGCTCCCCCAAGAATTTGCTGGCTGTGGAACTAGATTCGACAGCCTCGTGCAATTCATGGTGTCTCGTGTGCTGGGGATGATGTTTGGTGCATTGCTCGGCATGCAAGCATTTGGTGTCCTTTTCGCGATTCCGGTATCTGCAGTCCGCGGTATCTGGCTTGTAATGATGCAAACTGAGATGCGGCGCTGCATGCATCAGGTTTTGCGAGGATCCATGTGGCTGCTAGCGCTGCTGATTCCCTGTGTTACGATCTTCCCGCTGCTGTTCTTCAACCAGCTCACAGAGGACGCGTGGTCTCAGAATATCGTTCTCGGCTTCTGGGTGGTGCCCTCACTTGTCATCGTGTTCTGCAGCAAGCAGACCAATCAGAGCTGGTTTTACTTCTTGTGGCTCACGACATATCTGGCATTCATGGGAGTGTATTTGCTGAGGCAAGCCTGCAACCTGGGAGTGAAGATATCTGACATTCTAGCAAAGATTGACCTTCCCTGGCTATGGTCGACAATGCATGCGGACTTCTGCCTCACGAATGTGTTCGTTACGGACTTGGTCTGGCTTGCTCTCCACGGCGTGATGGAAGATTCTGAGGCCCATGGAAGTGACTCCGACATGTCACCCCTCAACGACAGAGAGCCTGCGAGGACTTGTCTTGCCATCCAAGCCTCGTTGCCACTGGATGATGTCCATTTCACTCAACTTCCAGGCTTGGAGAGCAAATCCGAGAAGGCAGGGGTTACTTGTCTTCACTTCGAGACCGCGGCATTTGCGCAGGCGGCAGCGTCGACGCCCCTTTCTCATGGGCGTTTGGTGCCACTCGCTTCATTCGTACCCCTAGAGCCGAGACATGGTTGAGATGGCGCAGACTTTCAGGGGTTTAGGGTTTAGGGTTTATCTTGAAGAGGCAGTCGCGTTTTCCACTGCCGACCGATGCCTGTTGCTGGCTTGGTGCCACTCGCTTAAAGGGCAGTTTCCCTTGCATGTTCGATGTACAATTATTAAACCTAAAGGCAGGAGCATGCATTGACAAGCTGTGCATGCCCATCTTCCACTGCCGCAGGTGCCTGTCGCTGCCACTTCTAGTCATTGGGTCGGCCTTCGGGATAGTTCCATTCCCCTTTATGGCCTTTACGAGGCCGTATCCACTTATCTGGGTTACGGGCTTTCAAGGGCCAACCCTACATTCGTTCCGATCGTGGCAGGATCTTCACGTGTTCCTGGTGCCTGCCTCGGTGCCATGCCCAAGATTTTGAATGCGTCGGCCCAACCGGGTGGTTTTCAAAATTATGGTCCCTTTTTGGGTCCTTATTATAATACGGCACCTATTATTTAGGGTACCCCAAAGGGACCATAATTTTGACAGCCACCCAAACTTAGGTCTTGTGTGGGCAAGTGCTGCGATCAACGACCTCCCCGACATAGCCGACATAGCCATGTGAAAGACGTATATAGAAGGCGCGAACACATACCCGTAGTATATATCTCAACCCAATGAAACGTGTCAGTCAATCGATATATCTTCTGTTTTATTTCTCCGTCGCTCTCTCAATGCTCTCTCTCCGTCACTCTCTGTCGCTCTTGCATCTGTCTCTCTCTGTGCCTCTTTGTCTTTCCATCCATCTGTCTCTATCTTTCTTTGTGTTTATCCATCTATTTATCTATATGTATCTGTCTGTCTGTGTATCTGTCTATCTATCTACCTATCAACCTATTTCTCCATGTATCTATATATCATTCTTGTTTATCTACCTATTTATCCATCTATCTATTTATCTATCTATCTGTCTACCTATCCATCTCTCTGTCTGTCTATCTTTCCTGACTATACGCCAGTATCTGTTTGGTGTATGGATGATGGATGGATGTACGGGTGAAGGAATGAATGAATGAATGAAGGAATGAATGAAGGAATGACATGTATGTATGCACCCACACATACACCCACATACATCTTCGCACAATTGGAGAGTCTGTTGATTACATGCGACATACCCACTGGATTGCTATGGCCATGATGAGGCATTAACAGCTCGCGGAGCAGCGATCAGAAGTATCCGCCTGCTTCCGTTCACCCATCCGACGGAGAGAAATTGACGACTGCTTTCCTTTCTTCTTGCAGACGACTGCGTGGACGGGACTGGTTGTATATGTGTGTGTGTGTGTGTGTGTGTTTGTTCGTGTGCAGCATGTCGTGACATGTGTCGGCATGGGTAGTTCAGTTGTTGCATCTGCCGGCCGAGATATTGAGTCTTCACATGCCAGCGGTTGAAAGGGCGTTGCAGGTGCTGAAACTATCCTTCGTTAGCACGCTGAAAGGAAAACTGGAGCGTGGACGGCGGATCCTAATATTTCGTCATAAAGCACACCCAGCAGCCGACGACGGCCCGACCAAGCTCGAAAGACCCTGGGTTTAGGGTTTAGAGGTTTGCTTTTGAGCGTTTGTAGCTCAGCTCATGGTGCGCTTTGCTGACGCGTACATCGGCCGCTCCAAGTACGCCGTGCGGTGAGCAGCATGATTGGCGGAGAACTCCTCGCGCGAGACTCAACCATGGGCTTTAGGGTTTAGGG